GTACACAAATGCACACCCACTGTGACCAAGTGTACATGTATGTATAGGCGCAACGGAGGAGGACGAGAAGTAGGAGGAGGGAAACAATGGCAAGCTTTGCCTCCTGATTTATGAGGGCATTATATTTCAGAGGAGCACACACGCCTTATATACATTCTTACCGTGTACATACGTTACTGGGACTATTAGAGAAAAAGGGAGGGAGAGAGAGGCAGGTATGTAATCGCTCTCCTCTTTGTGGCTCTCTTTTCTCTGTGTGTATCATCTCGGTGGTTGGTTTTCGAGGAGGGGGAGGGGGCAGGGACTATCGTTGTTGTTGTTGTTGTTGTTGTTGTTGTTGTTGTTGTTGTTGTTGTTGTTGTATAGCACAGGTTCTATGAGGCTCTTGACAAATTCGGGGCTGTTCGATTGTTCGGCGCGACTTGTGTGTTTTATTCGACCTCTCGTTTGCTGCTGGGACTTGTAGACACGGGTACAGGTGCCCAGAGGCCAGGGTTTCTTTTATGGTGGGTTTTTTTTTTCTTCTTTACTTTCTTTTCTATAAACGTTTTTCAAGTCGTTTAAAGGGAAAAAGGAAAAGTTTCTTGTATCATGAGCAGATGTAAGGTTTTTCATGGAGACGAATCAGTTTATACAAGTGATTGGATAAAAGAAAAACTCTGAGGTACGATTGTGTAGGGTAACCATTGCACTCTTTGGGCGTTTAAGTACCTAATCGTACCTAAAATGTAACTTCCTATTTTTCCTACAAATTATTGTTATTTTTTTTTTTCATTATTGCTTCAGTAGAATACTCGATAGTACAATCTTTCCGAAGAAAAAATAATAATAATTACCAAGCAAGGATATTGAAGTACTTTGACACTAAAATTTTCAAGATTATTGTTGTTTTTCATAATACAATACATCACTCTTGCTGGAAGTATTTTTGTTTTTTTTCTGAGGAAATACTAAGAACAAATGCTGCATCATATTTTTTTTAAAATGTATGAAAGACTGAAAAGAGGTTTTCTTTTTCCCAACACCTGCACCCTTTCGAAAGGGAACTGTGTAATGGATACATATATTATAACCAGAGATTCGTTGATTTGCGTTTTTTCCCGACTCGGATCTGTTCGTTAGGCCCCTTTTGGAAAACGGAGTAACGACCGTACCCATACATATACGGACTCACTATTTGCCGTTCATTAAAATTCTCTCGAAACCAGTTCCGAAAGCTGCGAACGTATACAAGTGTGTGCGCCTCAAAATATTTTTTCACCAACTTCTCGGACCACCTGACTTTAAGATTTCAAATGTACCTGCATGTATATATGTTATTTATATACACACACTCAGCCGAGCCCGCACGATGGCCGCGACGGTGGTACTCGACCTGTGTACGAACAGCAGAACGGCGGCTCGAAACTAGATAATTGCACACGAATCGCTCATGGCCGCACGAGGTCGCCCCTACGGAACCCATACCTACCACACACACACAAATCCTCGAACAATTAATGTTTTGCCGAGTTTCCGCGCTGCAAGCAGGGTATAACGGATCGGCTGCATTTAATGAGTGTATATACGTGTGCTCGTTCAATTAGGCCGAACCGAAGGGGACTTTCGTTCGTTTTTCCGCGGTTCTTTTTTATTTCCTACGTAGGGTCCCGGGGAAATTTTTCGGCCACCGCTTATTACTCCTTTATACGTATATCTACGTTTATACTCCAGTGCCGCGGCTGCGCGAGGTTTTATCTCTGAGCGTATCTTTCGGGCCTTGCGATGATTTATTTTGTCCCAGGAAAGCCAAGTATCGAAGGAAAAAATCCCGATTGGCGATTCTTTTCGGGTGTAATTATTATTATAATTACCCGCGATACTATCTCATATATTTTCATTGTGTCCGGCTCACGGGGTTATTAGAGACTTTTGTACCTATATAACTATTACACATCGACAATGTATGACTCTTATTGGGTTATTGGAGCTTTAATGTTACTTCCTACACGTGGGATTTACAAGGATAATATTACATAGTCATTCTTTTTTTTTCCACCATTTTGAGAGTTTTGTTTTTAATATAATATAAATTTAGAATCGTACCGTGTTTACCCGATAATAAAGCATGTTCTGAATGTAATAAGTGAGTCCCCAAATTTTAGAGTATTGATGCTTGATACGGAGCATGTCTCGAATATAAGGCTTATAATGTCTCACATGTACGACTTGTACTTAGTTTACAAAAAGAAGAACAAAATAGATGACATAGCTTGTACTCGAGGAAACACGACACAGCCAGTTGATTTGATAGCTCACCGAGTAGACGACACGGACTGTGTAAAACTACTTAAACAGTTCGAACCAAAAAAGTACGGCCTTATAATGCACCTTTGACGTACGAAGCGACTAAATTTGTGGAGAACAGTAGTAATGTTTACTTGATGGACATTAATAATGTGTAATTATGTTTAAGTAATGTTAATAACATTAAAAACTTTTTTTTTTAATTTTACTCACATACATCTCGATAGTAAACAATGTCATCGATATTGACTTCCCTTGCCATTTTTTCAAACATGGTAAAATACATGTTCGCGTCATTCAAATGGATTTTTTTCTTTTGATCGAGCGTGGACAGCGAGAAAAAAAAAATCGTTTCGTTTTGACAGTCGCATAATCTTCAGAAAAAATTTAACAGGGAAGATTATATGTCAAAAGCATTAATTATCAGCCCACGATGACGCTTACCTCTAATAAAGTACGAATTGGGGGAGTCGATGATAGTTTTCAAGCATCCGTTAAAAACTACAATTTTATTTAAATGAAAAAACCTCCTTTTCCCAAACTTACTCGCAAACTCTCGCCAATAAATGTAATATCCAACACACGTCCGAGCAACATCGCCAGCTGGAAAGATACGGAGAAAGATAATAAAATACAATTAAAAGTCCTCGTTCTCGTACACGTTTATTATGTAGCATAGGTATATAATTGCCCAAAATGAGGTAATCGCACGTACAGAAGGCAAACGCACCTTTTAGCAGCGCGAAAGGCGCCGCGTTTGTTTTCAGCTTGTTAATTATTTTCTACCGTATTACATTAGGCGCGCGGGAGAGTTTGGATAATTGTTAATTATTGAAATGTCGTTGGACGCGTGCGCGCGCGCGCACATCTAAACTCTACAACGTCGAGGAGTATAGGGAGCGAGTGTGATTTTTTGTTTTTTTCTCGCAACGCGAGCTTGGATTGTTGTGCAAGATGAATTTCCAATGCGTCCCTCACGTCTGCGGCTCGTCGCTCGTAATTAACGTTTTTTGTTTAACCGCGCGCGATGCCTGCCTACGATTGTACTCTTTTACTTCTTAGCATTGCGCAAGCGCTGTTTTGTATATTTTATACGCAAAAAACGCACCTCTTTCGCAACTCTTTTTTTGTTCCCCCCCCCCCTTACAAATAACCTTTCAACCTCCCGCTCGAGTGGCGATCCGCTGCAATTTCATATTCACGTATATCTGCTTCATTCGAATCATCGGCGCTTCCCCCCCGCGTTTATCATTAGATACCCACACATGCCGTATGCACCGCAGAGCTGCATTATGTATACCGGGGGATCGCGTGCATTTACCTCTCACTCCCTTTCCCAGCTTCGTTTTTGCCAAGAGTCGTTAATAATTGGACGCGTGACGTGATGCTCCATTCGTACGTCCCCTGCATGACCGCGGTAGCACCACCACCGCCACACATATACATCCCGAGGATTATACTACTCAGCTCCGCGGCAGCAGTACTATAATGGCAAGCCAGCCTGGCTATATGGGCGCAATATAATCAACTACGTACATCTCCTCCTTCACGTCGCTCGTCCTTTCTTTCTTTCGTTCCTATACATACACACGTCTCTTGGTGTATATAAAAGAGGAAGGCTTTTCTCTATTTCACCCTTTCCCCCTCCCCAACCCCTTACTCACGCGCGTATACGTACGTATATAACACGCTGAAAGGGTCCGTCCGAGCCGATAGTGCACCCCGCGGTTTTGCACCTATATTGGGAGATATACGCGCATAACGTGTAGCACCTCGACGTTGTCTCTCACTCTGACGTCTTGACAAGTTGCACGTATATATATGTATGTATACACATAATATATATACCACCACCACGACACCGCGGAATCTCTAAACACTTTGCTTGCTTGGTTGTACTGTATCCGTGAGCGATCGGGTGTTGAATTTTTATCGATTTTCAAAGGAGAGGTATATAAAGTTTGCCCTCGCGCGATTGATTCCCTCGCCGCATATATTTATACAATAGAGCATTACGTACTCTCGAGCAATTAACCCAAAGTTAATGGCCTTTCGAGGGATTATCAGCTCGATTGCCAAGGGTAGGAGGGGGGGCGGGAGCAAGGATAATTAAATAAATCCGTGCACAAGGACACGTGCGTGAGAGGCAAGAAAGAGAAATATACGGAATACGATAAGACCGTGGTAACTTAGGTACACGCTGGGGGTGATCGATTGCGAGCAGCTAATTTTTCTTTCCCTCCTCCTCGACGCGTATACGCACTGTATATCACGCTGTCGCCCTTCCTGCCTCCACGTTTGTCCCGCGGAGTTTACGACGCGTGCGGCTGGAATTTATTACAACAGTCCCCCTCCCCCCTGAGATTCGAGCGCACGATAATGGAAATTCTTAAAAGTCGCAGAGGAGATCGGCGCAGGTGTGACTGATCGCACATTGATCGGAGCGAGATTGCGCGATGTCTTGTGAAAAACTCACAATTTAATATTTCCACAGTAATGGCGAGGTGAGTGTAAAATAAAAAAAGAGGCAAACAACATGTACCGCTCTTCCATGCCCACGGGAATCAATGAGATTTTTCTTTAAAAACGACTATTAATTTCCATAACAAAAAAAAAAAAAAAAAACAATTAAATTGTATAAATAAATGGGTGGGGCTGATGATGAATGCAATGTCCGTCGTGTAATCGTTTCGTTTCTTTTTTCTGTTGCACAGGAGGAGAGCCAGCTCTCGAGCAAGCGGTGGGCCAGCGCGCCCCGCCGCTCGGACAGCCCCTGCATCCTGGGGGCTCCAACGTCTAGAGAGGTACGTTTCATCGATTTTCCTATACCATTTCGATTCTTATTATTCCGACAAAATGATGAATTGCGAAACAATACAATACAACCCGAGGTGCCCAACAGGAGCGAAAAAATCGCGATTCTCCGCTGCCCCGTTGTATACTTATTATAAATTATATGCTAGTGTCTGTGTCCTATTCAATGATTCATCGGCTCAACCGTATTATATATTATGCACGAGCACGTGCGTGCGCCGTGCTACACTCATACAGGCACACGCACCGACGAAACGTTTAGCAAATCGACGTGAGTCGAGGGGGAGGGGGCACTATTATTATGCACCTCGATATCCCCGCTAACGACCTATACGTGTCGATTTTCATCGGCCGCCGCTTCGTTGAATGATATTCCCTCGTCACGCGGAGCAGCTAGTGCTAGAGGTGTTGGGATGAATTTTCTTTTTTTTAATTTTTTTTTATTCAAGAGAAAGCGTGCGTTTTATTCATTCCAATGGCCAAGTGTCGTTTGTAGTGGAGCTGAGTCATTTATCGGCAGGTGCTTTTTTTTCGACCGCACGGAGGTTAACCCTCCGGGAGCGTCTATTATTAGTCATGAGTTTTTTTGGATTCAAGAGAGAAAAAAAAAAAAAAAAAAAAAATGTCTAAAAACCACGCAATGACCATCAGCCCGCTTGAACATGCACACACATAATATCTGTGTTCTCCCACTCTCGCCCGCGAAAACGAGTAAGTATATAGGTACACATTAAACAACACCAGGTTAGTTGATACGCACACCGCAAGTCTCCATCTGCCAAGATCGCAATCCGGCGTCTCTACAAATCTGACCCATTTACTTCGCTCCGTGGTTTTGTCGCGGCCTTCGCATGTAATCGCAGTAATCTCCTTGTTTCTCTAATTCCCATACGATATTTTTTTTTTTTTTTTTTTTCTTTTCATTTTCAGAGAGCGCATGCACGTACACACACGTATACCTATTGGTGCTCCGTAGAAAGAAAAAAAAAAAAAACAGTAGAGAAGGAAAGAAAAGAGTGCCGTGGAGCGTGTGCTAATTGACGTGGCGGTGATGATGACACGTAGCGCGATAATACGGATGGATTGTCTCGTCTCCTCTGCTGTCCTCTCCTTCTGCTCCGCGGAGCACAAGTACACGCGTAATTGCCGGCTAAATTACTTTGCTTCGGATTCGTTTGCCCGACGCCATCCTCGGTCTTTGTCGTCGCTAGTGTGTACAACACACACACACACACACACAAGCGCGGGAATAATTGTTTGCAACTCCGACGCGCTCCTCGGACAAATTAGCGTTTTTCGTCGCGCTTCGCCTATATACGTTTGCAACAGACGACAATGTCACGTCTTTTCGTTTGCAAAACAAAATAAATATGTGGGCCAGTGACGATAAAGTGCAATTTCACGCGAATGTGTGGTGATTTCACTTTTCGCCTGCGTCACTGGGGATATTCAAATTTTGCAAGGGAGCACGACTCATCGGAGCACGTGCACACACCTTCGGGCCGAGGAATTTTGTCATTGCCGCGTTGTCCTGTGTTCAATGCTCTCTGTACAAGGTATAAATTTTACGACATTTTTCACTCTCGCGCCACTGTAGATACAACACCAATGTGCATTGCGCAACGAAATTTTCACGCGCATTGGACAATTCATATCCATAGTAGCTTCTCCGTGTATGGGGTAATGGCCGCTCAAACTGCTCGAAGGGTATAAATTACAGGACGTACGCAAGTTCAATCGGCCCGAAAGGGTACATCGTCGAGTAAACATTTGGGCGCGTGATTGTATTATTTTGAGGCTCGTTGGACACCGCACCGTGAGAAACGATCCCCGTGGACCCTCGGGTGATGATATTCAGGGAAGTTTGAGAATTTTTGCTGCACGTTCTTCCGGTAACCGCCTCTGGCTCACGACAACTCGGGGGGGCATGTGTATATATACGGGGGCGTCGTGAGCACGCCTATCCCTTCGAAAATCTTGATTTCACACTTCGTGATGTATATATACTTTAACCCACCATACGTGTGTACCATATAAGGGAAAATCTCCTTACCCATTTCCTTGTATTTGTATACCCACCGTTTGTGTAGATACACTTTTGTTTGTATATCTCACCTATGGTGACCCATGGGTGCATGGTTATGCAAACGCTGCTCTTACACGTCTATACATAGGACGATGTACCTGCCGTTATGGCCCATGAGGCCTTTTGTGTGTTGATTTTGGGCTCGCGAGCGTAACACCAATCATCCTCACTAGAGACCGGAAAAAAAAAAAAAAATTTGAATGCGTTACCCCCGCACGTAACCCACACGGGTCCCAAGTGTTGGCGCGTGTGGTGTATGGGTCAAGTGAGAAGATATTGTACCACCACGGAGAGCTTTTACGCACAATATCTCCTTGGCATGTACCTGTCGTCCTGCCCTTTCGCACGGCGCGGCGACGCTCCGTGCATGCATACCACAGCCGATACATCCACACCACGTACAACATCCATCCCCCTCTCGGCCGCAGTGTGTATAAACAATTCAGAGATAGCTAGACCCATACTCGGGATGCCTCTCGCCAGTACAGGTACATCTCGTGTGTGTGTGGTTGTGCCCATGCAGAAAGAGGAGGAGGAGGAGGAGGAAGGGAATAAAGTGTATAGGTATATACACATGTATGTACGGACGCGAGAAGAAGGAGGAAGGAAAGAGTATAGAGAGAGAGAGAGAGAGTCTCTTCTAAGGCTGCTAATGCCCTGGCGTCAGGCACGCCGCGATTCCGTTATAGAGGAGGAGGAGGAGGAGGCCTCTCGCGGACGAATAAGCCGCGGGCTTCCCACGCCAATTAAACATGACTCATTAACGGCCAGCGGAGAGAGAGAGAGAGAGAGCTAGCGCGCCCGAGTAGGTATATATAAGGAAGGGAAAACGGTAGTTGGGGATCGATCCTCTTGGCTACTACCCTTCCTTGGACGCCTCCTGCTCTACACTCATGGACTTGTGTGTTGTGTTGTATGCATGTACACGTGAGTCAGAGCCGAGCGAGGCTTGTAACCGATCGGAAACTAATCTCGCCGAGCACATCCTCCCCCCCCCCCCTTCTCTGCTCCTCTACGTTTTCATTTTCTCCATCTGGGGCTGCTCTGCTCTCTCTCCCCCTTCGCGGACGCGTCTTATTCTCACGTCCGTCTTTTGATCTTTCGCGCTCTCCCTTCTTTCTGCACCCGTGCCCTTTTTAAGGATGCTGTACCACGGCTATACACACACGAATATACATATACATAAGTAGCAACAGCCAGTGTCCCGGATGATATATGGACGCGCACGCGAGGAGTGAGCGCCGATAGGATACACAAGCTCTCCTCCTCCTTCTTTTTAATTTGCTTTTCCAGGCCTTGAAAGACGTAATTTTATTGGTGCGTCCGAGCGATATTTACTGTAATAGCCCCCTGTAAGAGGAAAGGTTGTGGGAAAGTATACGTGTACCGGGCAAGTGCGCGCGAGTGGAGCTTTTCAGGTGGTGTATAACCGGGGCTATGGGGGGTGAGTGATTTATTGCTCGACGGAGCTCTCCCATTCAACGCAACTTTATCGCTCAATTTATTGGCGGGGACGCGACAAATGAGCAGGAGAGCGACGGAGAGACTCCGATAAGACCCTCTCCATGTATATAATATATGCACACGGAGGGTTGAGCTTTCTTTCCTCGATTCCCGCTCATTATCGCCTCTTATTCCGAGCTTTTTCAGCCTCCCTCCCCCAATTCTCACAGCCATCGCGCTCTACGACAGTAGCAATATAAGCACCTTCGATGAAGGGTGTATACGCAGGAAAGAGGGGGTTCGTTTAGCGCGTGTATAGCTCTCGGTATCGGATCCGATGTGTATTGAGATATTTCGCGGGTACATACTCATATGATGTTTTTTTTTTTTTACATACACGTAAAAGCAGCTCGGTAGCGGCGGGTTATTAGCTCCTATGTGAGCCTCGGCTTTTTTCACGGGGTTGCCTTTTTTTTTGCCGTTTTATTTCATCGTTCCGTAAGAGCTATAAGGCTGTACCTGCGAGGATTATGCTCCCCCCCCCCCCTCTTTGTGTGTGTATGTGTGTAAGTACGTATTTATACGTTACACGTGAGCCAAGTGTGTTGCTGTTGTATCGCTCGTGGGAATCTTCGTGGGATCATTTCCACGGAGGGGGTGCCTGTGCCGCGCTTTTTGCGTGTAGGGTCTACGGGTACATATAATATGGAGATGCGTCGGCCACGGGTTGCTGCTACTGGCTGGCGTTGTTGGGCGTACCTATACATGTATAATAGTTCTGAGGTGTACGCGCTTTACATAGACGTACGCGCATCGCGGGATGATGATTATGTTAGTTTTCGCAATTGAGGCGTTCGATGACCGACGGGTGGGTTACCCGAGGTGAAACAAGCGCTGAGTGCGAAAACGTTTTCGTTACAAAAATAATAATACATTGTACATCCTGAAACAAAAAAATTTAGCTTTTCGTAGACTGTTCTCTGTTGTTTAGATCATATTGGGATAAGTGTAATTTTTTTTCAACTTCTAGATTGGCTAAAAATATTTTTTTACGAATTTCAATGTGATGCTCATGCAAATTAAAAAATGATTGGTTTTAAATTTAATGCAGATCAAGTGTAGGTTACTTCAATCGACGGCTTGTCTTACCTCACTCGTCTGTTTCTACTTGATTTTCCAGACGATCAAGTCTTTTGAGTCAAACACTCTGTGAAATATTTAATGTAGTTGTAGATAAAAATTAGTACTGAAATATCTTTAAATAAAATGTACGTATTTGTTTTTTAAACTCAAATGTAAGCAGTAACTTATCATCGCACACATTATTCATAAAAGTGGGGATAGGGTTCCCGTGTAAAAATTTTTAAGTTTGACCAAACTTGTGCAAAAGTTCATGTGGTCAACGTTTGGCCAAACTTTGGCCAAGCTTGGGCAATGAGAAAATTCCAAACTTGGATTTTT